TGCTGCTGCTCCCCCAGGGCCTGGCTCTCAGACTCCCGCAAGTAGCCTGGCTAGAGCATTCTCCCGCACGGCACGGCGGGGTAGACCGCGGGCTACGGAAGGGAGATGGCAAAGAACTCGGCGCCTGGCCCACCCGTGCACAGCGAGCGGCGGCGCTGGGGCGGGAACCCGGGCTCCTGACTGTGTGCCCACACGTCTGCTCGCAGATGGGGACCGCGGCCAGGACGTGCTCAAATTCCCCTCCTCGGCCATTTCAGCACGTGGCTCGGCGTGGTAAGCGCATGCACACTGCTGGGCAGCCGATGTCCACAGCGCCCTCCCTCCTGCAAGACTGAAACCCCGTGCCCAGCAAAGGACAGCTGCTCACCGGCCCCTCCCCGGGCCCCGGCGACCCCACCCTTGTTCCCTTCCAACTCTCTCTGCCGGCTCAGACAGCTCCTGTAAGGGGAATGACGCGGCGTGTGACTGCGGAGCAGTGTCCCCAGGGCTCACCCGTGCTGTCACACGGGTCGGAACTCCCAGAACCTCTGTTCCTCCTAAGGCGGAATGGTGCTCTGTGGAGTGGACGGGCCACATTTCGTCTAGATGTTCATCGGACGCTGGGGTGCTTGGCTAGGATTTCCCAATCCCGACTCCTCGTCTTCCTGGCCGTGTTCTTCGGACACGTAAAGAGGTCGGACCCTCTTCGTGCGTCTCCGTCCTCACCTCTGTCCTCTCCGTCAAACGCAGAGGTGGACAGTCCCTCTCCACGGGGTTGGTGATGTTTCCGAAGATGTCCCCGGGGTCCCTGTCCTGGGTGCAGGCTGTGCTACCTCTCGTCCCAGCCTGGTTTCTGTGGCTGTCGCCGAACCCCGGAGGCTGTGTACTCAGGAAGGAAAGACAACTCCGGAGGTTCACGGCCTGCTGGCACCTCCCGGCTCCAGGCGGGCTTCTGGCTAAGCACAACGTGGCCGATGACACCATGACGGGAGTGTGCAAGAGGGAGCCAGCAGTCATGTGGCAGGGAGGAAGCAGGGGGACTCGGGGCCCCGTTTCCTTTTCCTATCACAACCACACTCCAGGACCCACTGGGGTCCCCCAAGAGCTGCTTTATCCTCATTTGAGGGCGGTGCCCCCTAATGATGTAATAATCGCCCATTAGACTTTATTCTTTTTAAGTCTGAGGGGCAGAGAGACAGATGAAGAGAGACAGAGCCATAGAACAAGAGCTAACATCTGCTTGCCCACTCCCCAGATGTCCACAAGGACTGGGCTGAGCTGGGGTTGGGGCTGGAAGCCAGGAACCTGATCCACATCTCCCACGTGGCTGGAAGGACCCCAGTGACTCAGGCATCACCTGCGGCCTTCCAGCGTCTGCGTCGGCAGGAAGCTGGAGCCAGAAGCCGGAGCCGGGGCTCGACCCCCTGCACTCCAACGTGGGATGTGGCCCTCTTAACCAGAATCTTGATGCCGGGCCAGATGCTGCCTGGGCCCCATCTCTTAAAGGGCCCTCTGCCTCAACATCACCGTGCTGGGGACCACGCTTCCAGCGCGTGAACCTCGGAGGGACTCACTCACGCCAGATCAGCCTTCTCCAGGGCGTGGGGGTGGCTTTGAGTGACAGTGCCATCGGCTGGGAGCGAGCAGGGAGGTTATGTCCGTGCGCTCAGGACTGGCCGCTGGTCAATGACAGCAGGGCCGCGGTGGTGTGTGTGTGCATGAATGTGCTCCCCTGTGCGGGGACCCAGAGACCCCACACCCTCTTGGTAAAGGGGGGACAGACTCTGCCATGCAGATCCTACTCCTGAGCTCCCCAGGGCAGCCTGCTGAGGCTGGCTTCATCCGGACCCTGGCTTCGCTCAGCTCCCGGCCTGTCCCCTTCCTGTTTCCCTCACTTGTCCCCGTCCAGGTTTCTCCTGGAAGCCATCACTCGCATACGATGCCTTGTTGCAGGCTCTGCTTCTGGTGCACCTGCCCCAAGATCATAGCCAACGTCTGGGTGTGGGTTCTGCTGCACACACCCATTCTGAGTGACTACATTGTGGCTGATTCAATCCCATCACACCTCTCTGGACAGGGCCGTGAAGATCATGCTGGAGAGTCAAGGTACAATCCAGAATTTTTTTTTTTGACAGGCAGAGTGGACAGTGAGAGAGAGACAGAGAGAAAGGTCTTCCTTTACTGTTGGTTTACCCGCCAATGGTCGCTGTGGCCAGTGCACCACGCTGATCCGAAGCCAACAGCCAGGTGCTTCTCCTGGTCTCCCATGGGGTGCAGGGCCCAAGGACTTGGGCCATCCTCCACTGCACTCCCGGGCCACAGCAGAGAGCTGGACTAAAGAGGGGCAACCAGGACAGAATCCGGCGTCCCGACCGGGACTAGAACCCGGTGTGCTGGCACCGCAGGGGGAGGATTAGCCTAGTGAGCTGCAGCACCGGCCACAGTCCAAAATTAGCTCTCGGTACTGTTATTAATGCACCTGCTGTTGGTGTTGTTGGTCTATAGGGGCTGGGGAGGGAGGAGGGAGGAGGGAGCAGGGGAGGTGAGCACCGGAGAATCTTATTAAGAAGGGGTCTTAGCAACAGAGAGCTCAGACCATCCCATATGTTTCCAGTTGGAAAAATGTCAGCAAGGCCACCCGAGTGACAGCCCGACCTTGGGCAGAGCAGTCTTCCCCATCTATGAAGAGTTGGCCTGAATAAATGAATGGACACAGATTTCATCTCTGGAGCCAACTGGGATCAATTAGAAGTGACTCCCTGGAGGGCTGTAGTGAAACGATTCTGGATTTGTAGCTCAGCCCTGCAGGAATGAGAACTGTGATCGATTAGTGATGTCTGCCGAGGGGACAGGAGAGGGGAGTGATGGCCAGTGTGCTGTGCATTGGTTCTTCCTGGATGGCTAGATTTGCAGGCTCCTTTGAGCTCTGATGGCCGGCGGGTCTGTGATCTGAGCTATGTTTAGAAGCTTTGCCACAGTGTTCGGATGAAAAGCAAGGCCAGTAGAGCCAGGCGAGAGATGAGAGCGTGGCTCTGTGCCAAGGAGAGGCCAAGGCCGGGCAACAGACATCTGCCACATTCTGACCACGGCACCCACTCTTCCCCTGGTGGAGGGGAGCGACCACTCATCCCTCGCTCTGGGATTTGACCAATAAGATCACTGGATTCCCCTGCTGTGCGTGTATGACCCAATTAGAGCTGACGAGCTGAAAGGAGCCTTTCGCGCGGACTCCTGCTGGAGACACGAGCAGCATTCTTTTCCACTGAACTTGAACTTGGGAGCGGGACCCCTGGAGCTTCCGGCAGCCCCGACAACCTCCTGGGCCGACTGAGAACGAGGCCAATGGGCGGAAACATAGAATCAAGAGACGACTAGAGATTGGACTGTCATCTTTGTGTCCCCCACTCCAGCCACGTCAGACGTGACGTGGATGTCTGAATTCAATGATTGAACAAGCCCATAATTTCTGTCCTGCTAAAGTCAGTCCCAGCCTTCGAGGGCACAGCCAACGCCCCTGCTGTGTGCACCAATGAACCCTCGTGCCCACCTATGGCAAGAGGGCCACTGAGCAGTGGTCATTGGAAAGCGCCACATCCCAGGCGCCCACTGCCGCCCTCACCCCCTGAAGCCCCCTCAGCCTAGGAGGCTGACTCTGTCGCGGTCCTGGCCACTCAGCCTCCGGCCATCCCTGAGCTGGGTCCCCAGCAGGAGCCACGCCTTCCCCGAGGTCTCCTTGCTAGATGAAGACACACACACACACACACACACGCACACTGACACACACACACACAGCTCGGAGCTGCTCTCCTGGCTCTGACGCCCGAGTTCCAGAAGGGGCCCCAGGGAGCATGCTGGTTTGCGATCAGCATTCTGGGAACGGAGGTCCAGAGGAGACAGCTGACACCACCAGGCTCTGGGCTCCTCTGGGGCAGGTTTTCTCCTCCGGGCGCCAAGCTCCAGGCTGTCTCTACTCCCAGCTGGCTTGTTCACCTGTCGGCGATGCTCAGGGGCTGGCTTTCTTCTGCTGGGAGTGGTGCTGTGGAGTGTTGCTGCCTGGGGTCTGGAGACAGCGCTGACTGGTGCTTGGGGATGCGTGGCTCCCTGGAAGTCAGGGTCACGGATGCTGTGGCAAGCAGGTTAAACTGTGCTTGGGACACCTCCAGCCCCGGGGGTCACCTCCTGCCTTGCTTCGCATCCGGCTTCCTGCAGGTCAGCCCTGGTGGGCAGCAGATGGTGGCCCTCCCTGCCCCACGTGTGGGAGACCTGCATGGAATTCCTGGATCCAGTTTCAACCTGCTGTTGTGGGCATCTGGGGAGTGCACCAGCAAATGGAAGCCCTCTCTGTCTGTCGCTCTGCCTTTCATAAATAGAAGTTTAATGGAGAAATGCATATTATGAAAAATCTATGCCTGAAATTCCAAATGCTTTTGCACCAAGAATGAAAATAGTCTTCTAATTCCATTTTCCAACAAACTTCCGGCTGAATCCTTGTTGATGCTCAGTAATGGTTGGATGTGCAGCTGAGAGCGACTTTGCCTGGCTTTGTCCCCAAAGCGGAGTCTGAAACAAACACGTAGTGCAGGGAGTTCCCCTGGGAACGTGACCCCAGGGCACAGGGCAAGCACGGGAGGCGAGCAGCGAGGGAGCATGGCCCTCAGCCTTCCGGTGGCCCTCGGCGAACCCAGGCTCCTGGCATTGCCACCGCTGTGTCGTGCCATCCCACGCCGAGGACGGCTGACCTTTGCAACCACAATCCTGCAGAAGTGACAGCGTGTGGCTTCTGGGGCTGGCCCCAGGGATGTCGAGGCTTCTGTTTTTCTCCCGTGGATCACCTGCTCTTGGAGCAGCCAAGTGCGTGTCGCATGGACACTCGGGAGCTGCTTGGTGAGGAACTGGGGCCTTGTGCCAACAGCCAGGCTTGGGAGTGTGTCCTGTTGGAACTGGATATTCAGGCCCAGGTTGAGCCTTTGGATGCCATCAGCCCCACCCAGCATCTCCACTGCAAGCTCACGGGAGACCCCAGCCCAGCCCAGCCCAGCCACTCTTGCCTGCCCGACACACGCAAACCGAGATTTAAAATGCCTCTTGTTGCTCTCAGCCACTGAGTGGGTGACTTTGTCTCCATATTGGATGGGCCCCTGCTGTGGGTTGTGGGATTCTAGGGGCCTCAGAGACAGCTGTGAGATGTGTCTCAAGACTGCCTGCTGGGGCCAGTGCTGTGGTGTAGTGGGCTAAGCCTCCACCTGCAGTGCCGGCATCCCTTATGGGTGCTGGTTTGAGTCCTGGCTGCTCCACTTCTGATCCAGCTATGGCCTGGGAAAGCAGTACAAGATGACCCAAGTCCTTGGGCCCCTGCACCCATGTGGGTGACCTGGAGGAAGCTCCTGGTTCCTGGCTTCGGATCATCCCAGCTCTGGCTGTTGCAGCCATTTGGGGAGTGAACCAGCGAATGGAGGACCTCTCTCTGTCTCTCCCTCTCTCTGTCTCTAACTCTGACTCTCAAATAAATAAATCGATCTTAAAAAATACAAGACCCCCTGCTCTAGGAAGACGGGGGAAGCATGCCCCTGCCGGCTCCCACCCTCCATCATCCGAGGGCTGCCTCACAGGCCTGGACTTCCCTGCACATGTGTGTGTGCCAAGCAGGTCCCCGTGGGCATCCCCTGGCGTGGGACTGGAAGTGAGAGGCCATGCTTATGTCAGGGGCTAGACACTGTCACTCACATGGAGGAGGTGAGGCCTATGTGGAAGTCACCAGTGCGGTGGGGGCAGGAAGGGGTGGGCCGTGTGCTGAGTGACAGATGTGTGAGCGCTGAGTGATGGATGGGTGAGAACCGAGTGAGCCAGGGATGGAGGGAGGCCCGGGCAAGCCCACTTTGGGGCCACTCAGCTGCGAACAGCGTGGGAGCAAGCACCCTCCCGGGCCATGGGCGCAATCCAGGGGCCCAGGCCCCAGGAGTGGCGGAACGGAGGCACACAGGATCGCTGGCCTGTGGGTCTTGCAGGATCCGCTCCTCCTTCTGTCCACCTCCGATCTCCGTGTCCTCCCGGCGGGAAGAGGAGAGAGCACGTCGGGCCCTGCCACTCATCTCAGGCGAGTGGAGTGTAGAGTAAGAGCAGGGGTCGGAGATGCCTCCTCCCGGCAGCCCCCGACGCACAGCACCGTCTGGGCAGAGACAGAGCCCACGGCGCTGTTCCCGCCGGAGGTGCTTTGTTGGAGAAGTAGCCCTGAAGCCAGGGGCCTCGGAGGTGATTCAGAGCTTGGAAACTGGACTGGAACTCCAGGCCGGGCTCCTGGGAAGAGGGGCGCTGGCTCGTGCCCCAGGAGAGAAAGCAGCGCGCACGCCTGCTGTCCCCACAACCTGTGAGGCGGGCACAACTCAGCCGCCTCACGACGGAACAGGCTCTGCCCGCTGGCCTGACGTGTCCGGGGACACAGAGAGGCTGGGCCCTGGAAGCAAGATTGGAACCCATGTCTGCGTAGCAACTAAGCCACGCAGCTTCCTAAGCAAAGCACTTCATCTTCTGTCCCGCTGCGGCGAATGATGGTCATTGTCAACGCACAGGTACGGGCCGTCGTGGTCTGTCGGGTGCCCCTCTGGGTGGTTTTACATACACGCTGTCTCTGCATCGGTGAACACCTGGGCATTTGTAAGCCAGGAAATCCCACACAAACTGGCTCACCCACGGTGGGGCTTATTGGCTCACGGAATTGGTAAACCCAGGGTGGAGTAGATCCCGGGCTCAAGTGGCGTCTTCCATTTTTTCCGTTTACCCACTGCTCTGCGTCCCTCCTGCTGGAGCCAGCGCGCTTCAGGGTGGCTGGCTGCCTCCGGATTTCCATTCCCTCCGGCTTCATGTCACCCGAGGTCTGCATAGCCATTCCAGGGCAGTCTCTGATTGGCTGCCCTTGAACACAAGCCCCCTCCTGAGCCAATCAGTGCCTCTGGGCGTGATGGGGCTCTGTGATTGGCCACACACACATCACACGCCCATCCTGAGTGAGTGGGGGTGAGGTGGCATCCTGGGGTCGGCACATCTGCTGGAGTCACGGTGCTACGTACAGGAAAGACAGCTTGTCCCCAGTTCCGTTTTCAGACGAGGGCACAGAGGGTCAGGAGGACGGGTACACTGCCCAGCTGACGCGGCTGGGAAGTGGCCAGGGCAGCTCCTTGAGCCTCACTCTGGAGCGAGGAGAGAGGGCTGGGGGTCTGCTCCGTGGAGCGGATCCAGCGGCACTGAGCGCCTCCCAGGTGCCGGGAGCCGAGACTCCGCCCTGCCGGCCTGCAGTCCTCCTGGGGGAAGCCGGGTCAGAAAGCAGCCGTGTGGCCGGCGCTGCAGCTCAACAGGCTAATCCTCTGCCTAGCGGCGCCGGCACACCGGGTTCTAGTCCCGGTCAGGGCGCCGGATTCTGTCCCGGTTGCCCCTCTTCCAGGCCAGCTCTCTGCTGTGGCCCGGGAGTGCAGTGGAGGATGGCCCAGGTGCTTGGGCCCTGCACCCCATGGGAGACCAGGAGAAGCACCTAGCTCCTGCCTTCGGATCAGCGCGGTGCGCCGGCCGCGGCGGCCATTGGAGGGTAAACCAACGGCAAAGGAAGACCTTTCTCTCTGTCTCTCTCTCTCTCACTGTCCACTCTGCCTGTAAAAAAAAAAAAAAAAAAAGGAATGCAGCCATGGAGCTGAACAGGGGTTGCGGCAGGAAGAGAGGAGCTGTCGGGAGGCGCGTGGTGATGAAGTCCTGCCGGAGCCGCAGACAGTAATTGCCCCTGAAGTGCAGAGGAGAGAGCAAGGACTGGGCACTGCGGTCCACGCAGCCTTTCAGGGAGAAAGAGACTGAACTTGGGCTTGAAGGAGGGGTTTGCAGGGCGGTGAGGAAGCAGCCGAGCTCTGCCTGGGTCGAAGGTCCTGGACTCAGGCACTCCTGGCTCTGCATTCCTGTGGCTTATACAGACCCTCACAGCTCACAAGTTCAAATCCCAGCTCTGCCATCCACGTGCTGTGTGGGCTTGGGACAGTCACATGACCTCTCTGATCCTTGGGGTTGGCACCTCGGAGCTCGGAGATGAGATTCCTGCTCTGCCTTTCTCTCCAGCTTGCTGTGAACACGGAATGAAATTACCCGCATGAACGCAGCTTGGGAACAAAGACGGCCGGCTCCCCGCCACGGGGTGCAAGGCCTTCCTGTTCTCCCGCGAGCTCCCGCGTGTCACTTCAGGATGGCACAGTGCAGATTTGAAGACCACGTCACCTGATTCCTAAAACCCGGCCCCAGCTTGTCCCTGGGGAGACTCACCCAACGCCTGTAAGCCCTGGTGTGGGAGCGAAAGACAACACGGGCGGAAAGGCCCCGGCCGTGCCTGGCGCGGTGTGGGCTC